CAATTCTTTACTTTATTCATTCAATTCTTTACTTTACAGATATTGCACAGGTTTCTCTTTCATTTTCTTAAAATGATCCCACACTTTGAGCTCTGTTGTCAGGTAGCCATGATACCAGAGCCTGTCTGTATAATGTCTTGTGACGTCCACGGCCTACCCCAGTTACCACTACTGTGCATGTGTGTCAAGGACAGAAAGGCAGATGTGGCAGTGGAAGGTGTCAAAGCAGTTTGGAGAGAAAAACAAAGTAAAGAACAACAACAAAAAATGAAAACGATTAATCGATTATTAAATTAGTCATCGATTATTTTAATAATCGATTAGTCGTCGATTAATCGATTAATCGTTGCAGCCATAAAAGATACCTGTTGTTGATGTGATCAGTGAAGGTGATGTTTGTACACACTGACAGAGGGACGCTGGAGCAGAAGGACACACTRCACAGCAGAGGGGTGACTTTGCTTTGCTGCTGCTGACAAAACAAACAAAAGCTGGATGTCAAATTCCAGATCTGTTAGCCCAGTGCTAAAGGGACAGTCTGGTTATTTTTGATGCAATTTCCTCAACCTCAATCATATGGTCACAGCTGTATTAGTCATCTATCCACATAGCAGACAGGTGTGGGCCAGATCTGGCAATGATGTTTTTAGGATGGCATGCCACAACTGGCCCAGCTGTGGTTTGGTTCATGTGGTCCAAACCTGTCATTGCCACACCTGGCCCCGTCATGGTTTAGTTGATTTTATGTGCTATGGATCTGGGCGATAAATCAATTACAATATATATCGTGATTGATCAATATTATTGGAAAATGAGTCCAATAAAATGTTGATCATTTCACAGAATTTCCATCCAGAACTGCCCAGTATGCTGGGGGATGTAGGCAGAGGAAAGACTTCAGCTGCTTCACTCTCATGGCTCAGCTGAAGRCCCAACATTTTAGACAACTTATGCCAACTTATGAAATATTTATTTTGTCTAAATTACTAATAAAAGTTATATATTCGATCAATTTGCTAGTATTACAGTATGTTCATGTCTACAGCAAACTTCCAGTTGATTTTTTCAATTTCATCTTCAACAGATTGGCTTGGTGGTCTCCTGGTGTTTCTACAAAACAGCGTCGGTGGCTATTCAGGCTGTTTCCTGGCTGCCTGACCAATATGAAGGATTGCCGTTCTACCAGCACTCAGACTTTTGCCTTGTGCGACCTGGACTCGGTCTGCAAGCGGTTCTTACTGAGGGTCGCGGGCTCTGAGATTCTTCTGGCTCATTCTACAGATATTCACACAAGTGCATACAACACTCATGGCTTCAGATACATGCCCCCCTAAACTCAACTTACTCCTCTGGCTAATAAATGTGCTCTATGCAGAGGTTGTTTTTTTTATAAACACCATAGTGTGTCACATTTAGTGGACATATTATGATGTTTTGTTTTTTGTCCTCATCTTCCCTTGTATGGTTTTTAGGTTTCCTTTTAAGTGTTGCGACTCCTCATGATGTCTTCATGAAGATGATCCTTGCTTTGTGCAGAGTCTGTGGCTGCACGACCCAGGGCACCTGTTCTCCTATGTTTGTTTATGTTCTGTCTTCTTGTGAATGGGTGTTCTGAACTGTCATTTCATTGTGCTCTGTACAATGACAATAAAGGTTTATTTTATCTTATAAGTTGTCTAAAATGTTCTAGTATGACACAGCTTAAGCGAGGCTGGTGGCATCAACTAACTCACTCACTCTTTGGTAAGCCACATCAACCAGCTGAGTAATGCTGCATTCACACTAAACGTGATTTCAGCTGACTGAACACTTCAAGTCGGAGGCTTGTGCACTTGGAGGCCAGACGCGAGTCAAAATTGCTCTTGATGTGCGTTGAGAGCCTTTTTTTCCTCCTCCTCTGCTAGTCTCTGTTTAATGGTGGATGAAATAAAGAAAGTGGCTTTGGTTTACTGAGAGCATGAAAATGTCACGATCATCAGATAATTAATTCATAATCAATTCACCAGATAATTCAGAGACGTTCTGAGTTTGATGAGTTTCACCACACAGGAGCTGTGAGTTGACAAGGCTCGCTTTCAGGACTATTTTTGTCCAGAGTTCGGTTTGATGATATGCTGACCCGCATTAGTGCTGATATCTCCAGCCAGGACACCGACTACACTGGATTTCAGCTAAAGAGCTCCTGTCCATCTTTCACAGGTTAATGGACATCATTCAGGAAACGGTCCAGATGGAAAATGTGTCACTACGTCACACAGTTGAGTCTCTCTGATTGGTTGACATGCCGCTTCAAGCGCATCCAACTTTCAAATCGCTTAAAACTCGCCGCACTAAACGCGTTAGATGCGTGTGCACCATGGTCTTTGTATGTAAACCTGACGCTCAAAACATGTTTGGTGTGAACACAGCCTAATGTGTGAAGCAGTTTCATGCTTCACCACCGTGACTCATGACTGCTTCAAAATAAAGATGAACAGCGTGGAGTGAAGCTCTAGAGGAAACGTATTAAAGAGGAAAGGTCACATCACCAGTTTGGCAGTATTAAGCAGCTTTTTCTCTCCTGCTCCTTATTTCAAATAGTTAGAACAAAAAACTATTCAACAATTATCAATAATGAGTGATATGAAATAGGGATGCCAGTTATCAATTAATGAATTAATCTAAAGTTGATTGATCTTATTGATCGACTAACGATTAATTGATAAGCGGTCATTTTCCTAAAAACCTGACATTTATCTTGAATTAAGAGTGTTTCCATCATATGAAGGGCTAATTTTTTACACACTAAATTAAAAAAGTGCAGTATTATATTTTATAAAATGTATAGTGCCAGCTGTATTAAACGCTGACTGTATAAACAGAAAATTGTGGATTTCTCACACATTACTAAACTTGGACATATTTACAAAATGTAACAAAAGAGGAATCTATTAGGTTTCTAATTGGAAAAAAAGGAAAGAAAAAAAGTAAAAACACGTGATCCACATTGAACAGAGAAATGTAAAACTAACATTTAAACACAGCGTAACACTTTAATCTAAAGATTTACTCAAAACAAACTATGACCATGACCTGAGAGGGGTGAACATACAAATGAGCACTGGAAATGTGTTTGTTTACATTCCCTGTGGTTCATGCTGCTGCATGATTTGACGTCAGTTACTGTTCATTTGATTTGTTCACTGGCCGGGTTACGTCACACAGACTAGATTAACTTTGTTTTGTTTTGTTTTAATATTTCACATGGAGTTAAACTCTACAAAAAGAAGCTAACGTTAGCTAAAGTTAGCTTACCGTGCTCGCTGTCGACCTGCTCTCGTCTTTAGCGTCATACTGCTGGATGGTCCAGTACAGCCTTCGGTACTTTTCCTTCCAGTTTGGTGTAGTCCATTATTATTGTTGTGTCGCAAATAAAACTAAACAACATTTGCGTGTTTAATTATGGAGGCGGCCGGCACTCTGCTCAGCTCAACAGGGCCGGGTTTAGTTTAAAGTTTAAATGGATGTTTTCAATTAATCAAATGGAAGAAATTTTAATCTAATAAACCATTATTCGACAATTAATTGTAAGTCGATTAATTGTTTGCATCCCTAATATGAAATGATTATACCTTGATACATTTTTCAGCCATATTGCCTAGCTATAAGAAATCTAACATTGGAAAATCTGATATCACTTCCATATCGAGAATTTTTTGAAAATTTGTTTGTAAACAAAGTCAGTTTTATCGACCATGACTGATTTATGACCAYCTTAAAAGCTTAAAGCTAGACAAAACTTATTGTTTTTGTTCACCCTTTGGGACATATGCAATTCAACCAGACATTATTTAATTGAAGGGTCATGTAGTTAACTACAGAGGTGTACCTGGTTCTGGTCTTGGGCCTGAACAGTGTTTCCCTCAGGAAAGATGACAGAGATGGGCTGTATCTTCGTCCCATCCTCCATTTGCACCTCATCCACTTCAGCTGATATCCTTGTTCCACTGTAAGTGGAAACAAGTGGACAAAAAGGAACCTTTCACACAAACATCCTGAAAACTGGATGGGCTTTTATTTTATCWAAATAAAGAATAAGTTAAATTAAAACAAGTATAGTCCTTCTTGTAAATGTTTGAAAACTCCAGGGGCCTCATGTATAAACGGTGAGTACGCACAAAAACGTTACGTGCGCCAGGTTCTAAGCCCACGTTGGGATGAATCAAAACCAACGTTGCGTGAAAGTGTGCGTACAAATGTGCGGCAGCCACGCAAAGTTTTTCAGTCGACAGTTTTAACTCACAAAGTCACAAATCTGACCTGAATCCACAGAAATATGACTCTGTTGTGTTTTCTGGATGTAAGGAGCGTCTGAACACAGTGTCAGATTTTTTTTAGTTTGAGTTTTTATTGTTTAAACTCGAACGATCATGAAACTGAACCCCGGGACTGAAAATCATTTAACCTCAGACAAGAAAATAGATCAGTCTAAAGATGATCAAAGAACCTCAGCCCAGTCTGTAAACTGTTTTTATATTTTTGTCACATAGTTGAAAACCTTTTGGGTCTCGGGCCGGAAAAACCAGACACATTACGTATGACATAAAAAAATTAAAAATAAAAAAGGCTGAAGAGAGGGAGCAAAATCGAATGCAAATGGTGGCTCACTGTACGGTAAGAATAATTATTTTTTCTGTTTGTTGTCTTCTGGCTGATGCTGAGTTGAGTTGTGGCCGGAGCGCAGCAGGCTCGAGCTTTGGGTAGATTCTCGCGCCAGGCGCGCGCACCATTGCCAGCTGGGACGGTGTTCATATATGTAAACCCCTTTGGACATTTACCTGTCTAATGAGCCTCAAAAATCTATATTTTTTGCTAAAAATCCATAGGCTACCACTCATACCTGCTCGTGGGGGTGGGGGTCTGTACGTGGAGATGACAGTGCCTGCTGTAACGCAGGAGGAAAGGAGAGCAGAAAAAGTGGATAAAGTAATGTTTATTGTTTTTTTAATTTCATTTTTTTTTTAAACGTCCGTTCAACACCGTGTTCAACTAAATAGACAACAACTAACCAGACTTCAATGTCACATTCGGGAGATGTCTGTAAAATTTCAGGAAAATCTCAGGCTTTGGTTATCCCGTGTGAATRCGCCACGTAAAACAATGACACCCCACTAATTATTTAGACAGTTTTCTAACTCATTCTCCATTTAATGTATAATTTCCCTGCATCTAAAAATCATTTCTGATCCCACAGAGAGGACAATCGGAGGAGAATCTCACACGCTGGACACATTTACATCTATTTTACAGATTTAAATGGAGGCGTGTCAGGGGAGGTTTCTCACGTGYGCTMAGTTCCACGTTCATTGGGATGTATAAAGGAAAGGTGCGCAGGAACATGTGTACGCATGGATTTATACATCTGAATATTTTGGTGCGGCGCACATTTCTAAATTTGTCCGTACGTCAAATTTTAGTGTGAAAGCTGCGCAATCCTTTATGCATGAGGCCCCAGAACATATTTGGCATCATTGTTTAAACTGCTCAATACATTACCTAAAGGCACATTTCAACAAAATGCACCCAGAACTTGAACATTCTGATCCTTTTATCAAGGCATTAAAAGATTCTGCATGTGCCCCTAACTCTAACATCTCAGAAAAGGAAAGGAATAAACCACAGCTTTAATGCAAAACAACTGGAAATTAAAAGGCTAACTGGAGCACAACACAACCACAGAGAGCTGCCTGTGTCTCCACGCTATCTCCATCATGCAAAAAAAAGGCCCAACCTTTTTCCTGAACTAGGAAAAAAAATACAAAACTGCATTGAGTGAACTCTGCTGGATAAACACTCTGCTGACGCAACACTCCACTGGTTCAAGCACAACCAGTTACCAACTGAAAACGACCTCCGTCCAACTGAAAAACTCTGCTTTGATTTAAAGATCGTTGGACACAAGCAGCATGAACCTGAAGGACCTGAGACAGTTTGGTCAAAAGAATGGAAAAAACTCCAGTGGTTAGAAGAACCTGGATATCCTGCAGCTGTAACTGCTGCAACAAGTGGCTGGACACAGTATTTCAACCTGGCAAGACTCAGAGAAAAACAGCAGTTTAAAAGTTTTATTGACATGAGAAAGTTTTTTGATGCTTGAGCCCTGGCCAGTATTACTGTAATGTTATGGGGGTAATATAAGGTAAAAGTTGTGTCCAAGATACGGTCCTGTAAAAT